AAGGGGGGGAGGGAGGGAGGGAGGGAGGGAAGACTGGATGGGGGAGGGAGGGCTGGACAGGCTGATGGCGGGAGGGAGGGAGGGGCAGGGAGGATGGATGGGAGGAGAGAAGGAGGGGTGGAGGGATGAGGACGCGGTGGAGGAGGGAGCTTGCTCCGGCTCTGACCCCGCAGGAGCAGCCTCTTCGCCCAGTGTGAGGCCCAGTCCAGGACCATGCTCCATCTCAGAGCACAGACCTGGGGCCCCACCACGGGCCAGGAAGCCTTCTGCTTTCTCTGCACGGCCTCGGGCCTCTCCTCGTCCTCCCTGGTGCTTCACGCTTCAGGTCTCGTAAGCGCTCAGCCCCTGGAAGAGGTCTGGGCCTTCAAGCCTAGAGGAGGACAGGGACCCCCAGCGTTCTCCTCAGTCGTGCATGAGAGGATGACAGGTGCACCCCACAGCCTGCTCCCGGGCAGCACCAGCGACAGCTCCCGCTCAGGGCCAGCGGCTCCCTGGGCCCCACCTCCCACGTCCTCCCCAGTCACATCAGCTCCCAGCTCCAGAAGACGGTTCCCCCCCAGAGGCACTGGCACCGCCCGACCAGCGCCAGAGCAGGTGGGCAGGGCAGGAGTCGGGGAGGTGACAGGACCTGGTTCAGGTGAGACTGGCCGGTTTGCTCTGTCTGGTTCTGGGCGCTGGAGGAAGTGAGTGGTTCACACCTGGTGAGCTGGACAGCCCGCAGCGTCTGGGAGCCTGGGCATTTCTGCACCGGATCTGTCACCCAGCACACAGAGAGCCCCCACCCGTGGCTCTGCAGGGGACACATACAAGGCCACGACTTCCTGCCCTCGGCGAGGTCCCAGCCCAACAACCCCCTGCTTGGGGGGATCCTTGGAGACAGATGAGCTCCGTGACCTTGCCACCCAGGGTCCAGGAGTGTTTCCAGAAAGTTCCGCCCACGTCTGCATCCTCTCCCCAGAATCCCTCAGATGGCCACAGGTGTTCTCTTCTGGAAACTTCTGGGTCACCCATCCTCCACACTCCTTCTTCTACAGAG